CAAGTGAATCATCTTCAACAGCATTCACATTTGCCATTCTATTTCCCTGATTGCCAAACCTTTCAGGTTGTGCTCCAAATTTCTTCTTGAATTTATAGTCTGGTGGATAGCCAACCACTCGATAACATGTCTCCTTGGTATGACCTTTCAACTTGCAAACTTCACACTGCAAGGTATAATCCCTCTTTTGCTTATATGAGGATTGTTGATGGCCTCTTCCTGCATATAATGCAGTAGAGGTAGATGCACCTACATCTCCTCCTGAGTAAGGATTATTGCCAACAATCTGTCCTCCTGAGTAAGGATTATTGCCAACAAACTGTCCTCCTGAGTAAGGATCATTGCCAACAAACTGCCTGTGATGATTTTTACCAGCATACAATGCAGTAGGTGGTGCTAAAACACCTCCTTGGTATGAACCAGCAGTCATGCGTTGGCTTTCATCAGAAATAATCATTGAATAAGCCTTGTTTACAGAAGGTAAGGGAATCATCATAAGGATTTGACTACGTGCCTGATTGTAAGACTCATTTAACCCCATGAGAAATGCAAACAATTTCATGTACTGCAAGTGACTAGCATAGACCATTGATTTATCACAACCACAAGAAGGAGGTGCGACCAAAGCATCAAATTCATCCCAAAGTAACCTCAATCGTGTGAAATAAGCAGAAACAGAGGATGTACCTTGTGTGATAGTACAAATTTCACGATGTAGCTGGTAACCTCACGATCCATCGACCTTGTCGAATCTCTCCTTCAAATCAGCCCATACAGTAGCAGCATCAGTTGCATAGATGATTCCACTCATTAACTCCTTCGAAACAGAGTTCAAAATCCATGATAGCACGAATGCATTACACTTTTCCCATTGTTCTTCCAAAGCAGTGCTGTAATCACTCTTCTTACAGGTACCAAAAACAAAACCTGCTTTACTTTTGGCTCGGAGAGTTAGGAGCATCGATCGACTCCATAACGAGTAATTCTCTACGCCTGTAAGCTGGATAGTTGTTAATGAAGATCCTGGAGTGTCAGATTGCAGGAGATACAGGGGATGATTGCGGTTCTTCTCGACATCTACAATCGTGTCAGTGCTCACCATAATTCCCAAAAACAGATCACAAAAAAAACTCAGATAACTTGCAGAAGAAGATCGTTCACAATTAGAGATGAATCAATCGATGATTCGCAGCTCTGATACCATGACAAAATCTCAATTTACATCTATGAATAGAGAGAACTGATTTAGGGGAAATAGGGAGAAACCAAAGAGATGATCTTATTCATTGATCATGCTTATGGAGCATGTGCACTGTACATCGACATATATAGTTCAGCTAATTTCCTAACTACCTTTACAACCAATCAGAAATGTACACCTGTCAATCTAACAGAATTAGTTATACTTAACTAACTAATGAAGCTGAAAACTAACTAATGGAATCAAGTCACACCTCTGTCCACATTATCTTCAATAGTACGGAAGTTAAATGAATTCATGAAAACATCCTTTAAGCACCTTGAGTTCTTGTTGAATATCTTCAGGTTTAAGTTACTAGAGCTACGCACTTAGGCGTATTCTAAAAGTATATGAGGTTCTGTGAGGCAATTACATGTTATATGAAAGTGAATACAAAATTATGAGAACATGAGTTCCAACGGGCCAAGGTTGGCAACATGAGCATAGTAACATATATACATTACGCATCCATGACATGACATGCTATGCATTCTACTCCTGAGCTATAATTGGGAGGTATGAGGCCTATTGCCTATATTTATATGTATGAGAGACAGATGGCCACATGTTGGCGAATATGATGCCGGTTCGCTACCGGAAAGCACCACCATTGCTAGCATTTGGTTGGGTATGTCATGCATTTGCATCTATATATATATGTATTCACGACATACGATGACACGAGCATACCACACATTTTAAGTTACTATGAGTTCACATGTCATCCATGGAGGCAATAAGATTTTTAATTTCAGGAGGTATCTCTATTACCCATTTTATTATAACTATTTTATGAATTACTTTTCGCCTTACATACCAGTACATTTTCATTCGTACTGACGTCTCATTGCCTGGGGACTTTGAATGTCATGTTGCAGGTTCAGACAGATGTCCTGATTGACCTTCAAAATAGAGGTGTTGTCTCAGCTGAGGATTGGTAAGCTCCATTCTTCCTGGAGCTGTTGGTTTCCCTGTAGGCTTTGCATACTTGAGTTTTGTATCTCGTTATTGGCATTGTTGGGGATTTAGTCCCAACTAGTTGAGTTGTAGTATTCGTAGAGACTTGTGTACATACTGTTGGGTCTTCTCATCTATGTCGATAGCCTTGTCGGCTTACCTGTATATATGGTTTCAATTGCAGCCTTGTCGGCTTGCTAGTTCTTTATCAGTTATGCTGTCCTTGCCAGCCTAATTTTTAGTATGTCTTAATGTAATCTTGACCTTGCTGGCCCAGTTATCTTGTTTCGACAGATTCTTGTGGCGGCCTTGTCGTCCCTTGTTGTTTCTTTTCCTTTATATTTTAGGTGTCCCTCTCAGTCAAGTAATGTACCGTGTGCTTGTTGTGCCTCCGCTGATTTGGGGCGTGACAAGTAGTATATTACTTTTAACTTCTAAGTATGTGTTTATAGGAACAACCTTCAAAGGAGATATTGATGACCTCGATTTCGTCATACAAACACTTGAAAATTGTGGATATTCCAACGATGATATTACATCCATTGCGATGCAGCTTTATGTGGGCTAATTATCCCATTTATCAGACATGTAAGCTTACTTTTGTTCAATTTTCCTTCAACGATTTTCGATCAAAGTTACAATGACATAGTTTTTTTTATGGTATTTGACAATAGGCAAAAAAAATTACCTTCAAGAAGCCAATTGGTAGTATTTCAATTTCAGGCCACAAATGCTTGGGATGGCCAATGCCTTGTGGCATTCAAATAACAAGGAAAAGTTATGTTAGCAGTCTCTCAAAAATTGAGTATATTAATTCTCCAGAGGCTACAATTTCTGGTAGTCGAAATGGCTTAACACCAATATTCTTTTGGTACTGTTTAAGCACAAAAGGACATGCTAGATTGCAACAAGATTCCAAAATATGCATTGAAAATGCTCGATATTTGAAAGATCGACTTCTTGAAGCAGGAATTAGTGCTATGCTCAATGAGTTTAGTATTACTGTTGTTTTTGAACGACCTTGTGACCATAAATTCATTCGTCGTTGGAACTAGTGTTACTTAAGAGGCATGGCACATGTTGTGGTTATGCCAGGTATTACAAGAGAAACCATAGATAGTTTCTTCAAAGATCTAACGCAAGAGAGGAATAAGTGGTACCAAGATGCAAATGCTCTGCTTCCTTGCCTAGCAGATGATTTTGGCTCTTCAAAGACTGTAATCATCTCTATTTACAATTATGTTTGTCTCTCTCAAATATTAGAGTCTCTGCAGCTTTGTAGAACATAGCAAACCTCCTTCATTGATGGCCTACCAGATGGTGATGCTCCTGTACACATCACTCCTAGTTTAAAAATACTTCTCATTTGTTTCAAATTACTTGTTTCCATCACTTCTTTATCCAGGGCCTAGATTCATTTGCTCATCCCTGAGAATGGGTTCTCTCCCTGTTGTCAATTCTAATAGCACCATTCCATAGCTATAGATATCAGTCTTTACATTCACTTTGGATGTCGAGGCATACTCTGTCAGGACCAAATATTTAAATTTGATATATTAGAATTGAATTTCAAAAGATTGAATATTCATACATGTTTGAACTGTAATGTACCTGGTGCAATGTAACCAAATGTTCCAGCAATAGCTCAAGCTGTCTCAGGATCGTCATCCCGCCTGGATAGTATTTTTGCTAGTCCAAAATCTGCTATTTTTGCATTGAATTCTGAGTACAGAAAGATATTGCTGGACTTAAAGTCTCTATGAATGATTGGTCGAGTGCAATGATGGTGCACCAGTGGCTATTTTTAATCTCTTTTGCCAATCCAGGGCTGGGGTACCACTTTGACCGGGTGATGCTGCTCTTTTCTTTCTGTGGAGCCATTTGTTGAGGCTTTGTTTCTCAAATTATTCATAGACTAGAAGCTTTCTGTCTGAACTTGAGATGCAACACATGAGCTTGACAATGTTGTTGTGGCGAATGCTACCAAGTGTTCTAACTTCTGCCAGGAACTCCTTTTGGGGTCTTCCACCTGATTTTTCTCCATGCCCTATGCTTTTAACAACATGAGTATTGCCTGTTTGGTCGATCACAACTCGATAGACCTTCCCTGATCCTCCATTTCCTATTATGTTTTCGTCTTTCAAGCTAGACAAATGTCTTCTGTAGTCACCTTCAACTATTGAAATGAAATGAACTTCATGTTATCTTTGACTTTCTGCTTCTTTGTTTTCCACTAATGTTTTCTGGTTCTGTAAAAGATCCATAATAACAGTATAGCTGCCCCAACTCTTTGTGTTCCCATTGTTTTTCTTTTAATTTGGCAGTGAAGTCACTATGAATACAATAAAGAGCTCATACTTGAAGTCAACGTAGTTATTTCTGTTTTATTGAGGATGAGAAAGGTTAATACGTATGTGACATGGCACCATCACGTGATTAGTTAACTGATTATTGTTAAGGCTGTTAGTTAATAGTTTGTTAGAAAGATATTAGCTAGCTTAGTTAGTTACAAGTTAAAACGTGTATATAAGTGTGTAGATGATCAAATTTTCAGTATCAGTTTTAATCAGAGAAAATTTCCTAATTCTGTATTCTCCCAGAATTCTGTCTCTGTTCATTCAAGCTTAATAGCAGTTTCAGATTTCCTCCATTAATGGAAGTCACTGCAATGTTTCTGAATTCCAACATGGTATCAGAGCCTTGAGGAGAGTTTCTGGACTTCTGAATTCAAGTCATAAACCACGCTCGTTTTTTTTTGTAACTGAGAAGTGGATCTACGATTCAGAGCACTTGGCGAACAACAATGGTGATTGATAATGAAGCCACCACAACTCCTACAGTGATTGATCATCACCATCCTCTTTACCTTCAAGCTTCTGACTCTCCAGTTCTGGTAATAATTCCGATTAAACTCACAGGTCCAGAAAATTATTCCCTGTGGAGTAGATTGATGAAACTGGCTCTGCGAGGCAAAGGTAAGCTAGGGTTTGTGGATAGTACTTGCCCTAAGAGCAAGTATGTAGGAGAATTAGAGGAATTGTGGGAAAAATGTAATGCCATTGTGTTATCATGGATTGGTAGCACTGTATCTGTTGAATTAGTTCCTAGCATAGTTTATGCTTCGACTGCTAGGAAGGTTTGGGAAGAATTCAAGGAACGATTTGATCGATCTAATTTGACCAGGATCTATTATCTGTGGTCTGAAATTGCAAATTTGAAACAAGGTACTGACTCTGTGACTTGTTATTACTCAAAAATGAAGGATCTATGGAATGAACTTGATGTCATGGTTTTACTACCTTCATGTTCCTGTGAAGAATCTAGTCTCTATGTGACACATTTAAAGTCACAACGGCTGTTGCAGTTCCTTATGGGACTCAATGAAAGTTATTGCAGCTTGAGAAATAACATTCTCTCTAGAAACGACACTATGACAGTGAATGAAGCCTATGCTATCATAACTCAAGAGGAGATCCAAAGATCATTGGGGGTGGTTGATCATCAAAAGGATCCTCTGACATTGCTTGCTGGAAGAGCTCAAGGTTATCGACCTAGAAAACCAGGAAGTTATGGAGGATCTACAGGAGGCACAACAGGATCTGCAGGTGGAGGGATTCCTTGCATTCATTGTGGTTACAAAGGCCATCTGAAGGATAATTGCTATAGAGTAATAGGCTATCCTGAGGACTTCAAAAGCAGGAGGAAATCATCACAACAGGCACAACCTGCACATCCTAAACCTGCAGCCAATGCTAGCTCGAATGACAACCATAAAAATCAAGGATCAGGCTATTTTCTCACAGAGCAACAATATCAGGAATTGCTTGGAAAACAACAGGCTCACTCTCACTCCAATAATGAATGTGTATCAAACATGACAGGTATACATTCCTTATTGTCAAATGTTATTACTTCTGAGTGGATTGTTGACTCTGGATCATCTCACCACATTACACCTTATAGAGAGTTATTATCTGATATTAAGAAACTTGAGAATCACCTTAGTGATAAAGTTCAAGTGCCAACTGGTGGAAGAGCACAAATCAAAGGTGCATGGACTGCTTCTATCTTTGAAGCTTATAGCATGAAGAATGTTCTTCATGTCCCTGATTTCAAGTTCAATCTTCTCTCAGTTTCCCAGATAACCAAGGCCCTATCTTGTGTTGTATTATTCTTTCCTGAATTTTGTGTCTTTCAGGGACTTTACAATGGCAAGGTCTTGGGGATTGGTAGAGAAAGGGATGGACTATATCTGTTACAGGAGAAGACTATTCCAATAACAAATGTTGCAGGATTAAAGCACAATACAGAGGGAATACTTTGGCATCTCAGATTAGGCCATCCTTCCACAACTGTTATGAATCATATAGCCTCTCTAAATAAATGTGCAGACTCTACAATACAAGAGAAATGCCATATATGTCCTTTAGCTAAACATCACAAATTGAGCTTTCCCAATAGTTGTAGCAATACAGTGGCTTGTTTTGAATTGTTGCATGTAGATTGTGGGGACCCTACAAAATGCCCACCTATGATAAGAAATATTATTTTGTTACTATAGTTGATGATTACAGCAAGTATACTTGGCTTTGTTTGATCCAATCTAAATGTGAAGTTACTACAGTTCTGAAATTTTTTTTGTGTTTGATTAAGACTCAATTTGGTGCATGTGTAAAAACCTTGAGGTCTGATAACGGAACTGAGTTCTTTAATTCAAATTGTGAGAAGTTGTTAGCTTCTTATGGCATACTCCATCAGAGTAGTTGTCTTTATTCTCCTCAGCAAAATGGCACAGTTGAAAGGAAACATAGGCACATCCTGGAAGTGGCCAGAGCCTGAAGGTTCCAAAGTGGAGTGCCCCTTAGCTTTTGGGGTGATTGTGTCAAGTCTTCAGTTTACTTAATCAACAGATTGTCTTCTCCAATATTGAATGGTCAGACACCTTATGCATTACTATATGGCAAGCAAGCTAATCTTGATCACTTAAGGGTGTTTGGTTGTTTATGCTATGCTAGCAAACTACTTAGATGGGACAAATTTGCTGCAAGGGCAAGGGAAGCTGTCATGATTGGTTATTCTAAAACTCAAAAGGGCTACAAGTTGTATGATCTAGCTGACAAAACATTCTTTGTGAATAGAGATGTCAGTTTTAGGGAGTCTACATTTCCTTTCCAAAAGCTAGCTCAGTCTGCCCTGGACATATCCAGCACCGATAGTCCAACCTCTATTGATAGTCCTTTGGATGATCATGCACTTGTTGGTACTCCTGCACAATTGGTCCCTGAAGTAGTTGAGACAGTTCCACTTGATGCTATGCAGAATGACTCTTTGGTTCAGGAAGCAATTTTGGACCCTACTCTTGCTGATACAGATGTAGTACAGGCAGATGAAGTACAGACAGATGAAGTACAAGCCACTATCTCTGATCCTCCAGTAGGGCCTTCTCACAACAGACCTCTTCGGACATCTAAGCCCCCTATATGGCTTAAAGACTATGTCTCCATTGTCAAGCCTAAGGGCCACTATTCCTACCCTATTTCTCAATCTGTTTCATATGACCATCTTTCTACAGCTTATCAGGTGTAGTTGACAAATTTTTCCCCTGCAACTGAGCCTACCTCCTTCCAGATGGCCTCTCAAGATCCACAGTGGATTCATGCCATGCAACAAGAGATAGATGCATTAGAGGCTAATCACACATGAGAGCTCTTTGAAGTAACTTCAATTTTGCGTTATTTAGGGTGGAAGCTGCACTGTACTTTCCTAATAAATTAGTGTGAAGCAACACTCATTGACTAGTTATCTCCTTCTGATCAACTCCAGCTGCTAATTAACATTCAGTATGAGTTGTAAATCTTGGTGCATAAACTCTGTTTTGATGGTTCTTACGTTGTATTGTATTTTATCGTACTCCATTGTTTTAGTAAATATCATGATTGAATAGATTGTATCATTTTCCATTGTTACATAACGTGACACACAATAATTAAGAAGAGTAGGATATGTAGTAGAACTATTATAAAAGATAAAATATATTGTTCTGTTTAACCTTTTTCATTTTGTATGAGATGATGACATGTATATTTTTTTTTTTTTAAGTTAATTGGGTTGATATTCCAAAAGTTTTCTTTACATGAGTTAGGCCTATATAAATTTTATATAGTAATAGAGGTCAAACATGCTAGACACGTTCCCAAAACTAGTAAAATAATAAGTAAAGACAAAATGAGGAAAAAAAGAAGGTGATCACACCAAATCGATCCGTCGTTACGCAAAACAGGACTTTTCGTTGTTATCTAACAATATTACTTAACGATACAATAATAAAAGAAAAATAAGAATCAAAACAAACATTGAATCTGTTGACATAAATTAGAAAAAAGAATCAGAAACTACACTTCAAGTTTACAGTTAGAAAGTTAGTTAATCTGTTAGAAAGTTGTTAGACAATTAGTTACATTCTAGAGCTAAGAGTAAAAGGAGAAGTTCATGTATAAATAGCCGTTATTCAGCTATATGAAATTATGTTGTTTTCTTCTCAAAATCTATTAAAAGATTATTCTTCTATTTCTCTACAAACAACTTTGTAATTTGTAAACCTTCATGGTATCATGGCCTTGATCGAAGTCTGAGTAGATCAGGTGTATAAGGCAGATTTTTGAAGATCA